GTTTTAAAAAAAATGACATTGAATTCTCTGAGCAGGTCCCCTGAGATGACATGTTGATCTGCCATCTGGCAATATGGCATTATTTTACAGGGTCTCTGGGGACAATCTTTGATGTCAGGAATTCATCCTCAAGGATTTGTCAGGGAAATAAATATCTCTTTATCATAAAGGAGAGTTCAAACCTTTTCCCCATATTTACTCCTGGGTACCTGCCAAAACTTTTCCTTGCAGCTTTTACAGATCTGCTGGGAAAATGCTGTCTTCATATTCTCTCTCTCTCTCTCTCTCTCTCTCTCTTTTAATTTCCCCTTAAAGGCCAAAGCAGATTTCCATTTCCCCTCTTTTGCTTTGAGGACAACAGACTTTTGTCTTGGGGGGCACTGTCTAGAAGGTACCCCACCCCATACTTTCTGGAATTCTCTAGCTGGTCAGGAGCATTCTGTCTGTGTGAAAACGGATGAGCCAGATTCCTGCCTGGGCCCTTCATTCACAGCAGGATGCTCACTCATATCCGGTGCCTGGTGCCCAGTGCCCACCACCCGGGATCTTTAGAATGATTGGCCCAAATTCTCCATAGCAGCTGACTGAGGAGATCCTGCCATGTGGTGGCCAGGAGGAAAGTTGCTATCTGCTCTCCTGACTTCACATCCAGCTCCTCTGCTTGCAGCTGCATACTGGCCTGATGTGTGGAGACCCAGCTGGAAAGTAGGAAGGAAACAGTGAGTGATAGAGGCATTGCATCCAGGATCTTCCAGAATGCCCGCGTCCGTCTTGGCAAAAGATCTCCAAACAACGCCCTCTGAAAATGACTGTGTCCATCTCTCTCTGTCGCACCTATGTAAATAGGAACTGTGTTCTTGCCCAGCCCCTCTGGCTCACACCAGTAATCCTAGTTACTCAGGAGGCTGAGATCTGAGGATCATGGCTCCACAGGAAAGTCTGTGAGACTCTTATCTCTAACTACCCCAGAAGCCAGAAGTGGAGGTGTGGCTGGAGTGGTAAAGTGTCAGCCTTGACAAAAAAGCCAAGAGAGACCTCAAAGCCCTGAGTTCAGTACTGGCACATCATAATAATGTGGTCTTTATGATCAGCCCCTTGCCTCCTCTGCATTGGCCTGATTACTGATGACCTGTTTCAATAAAGTTCTTTGAATTAGGAGCAAAATGTCGTCATAAAAGAGCCAAAGTCAAAACGTTATTATTTTCAACTTGGCATCAAGTAGGAGGTGTTTGCTAAGCACTGAATAGGAAAATCACTGGGTCCAAGGAGAGCCCTGGGGGGCAAAAAGTGGGAGCCCCTAATTGCAAAATGGGCTAACACAAAAAGAGCTGGAGCAGTGGCTCAAGTGGTATAGTGGTAAGTACAAGATCCTGAGTTTAAAACTTAAAAGAGAGAACAAACAAGGGAGGGAGAGAGAGAGAGAGAGAAGGGTCCAATTGCACTTTTATACAAATTACAGAAATGATGGCTAGTGATAAGTGGGAACTACCTGAGTAAATTGTTTATGAAATAATAGATTCTTCTAGTTTGAGAGAATCTTGGAGAGCAGTCAGTCGGGCATTTTATTGATGGGGCCGTGATGGCTCTGAGAAACTTGGAACCTTGAGGCTTTACACTGTCCCCCAGATGTGTGATGGAAAGTCAGAGGTCTCTGCCCTCATTCCTTCATCTTTTCCAAGGGAGCAGAAGAGATTTCTCTCCATCTCCCTCTCTTCCCCTCTTCCTCTTTTCCTCCTCCCCCTCCCTCTTTCCCTCCCCCTCTCCCCCTCTCTCCTTACCTCCTTCCTTGTTTCCCTCCTTCCCTCACCTTCAATCCCTCCCTCCCTCCCCCTCTCTCCCTCTCTCTTCCCCTCTCTCATTCTCTCTTCTTCCCTCTCTCTCTCTCCCCCTTCTCTCCCTCTCCCCCCTCTCTCTATCTCCCTCTTTCTCCTCTCCCATCTTGTGTGGCTCAACTTAGCCTTGCATGGCAAAGGCAGTGACGTGTTTAAGAACGCAGTGGATAAATCACAGGAACCAATAGTTTCACTTCATTCCCCGACCCTGGATGCTCATTTACAATTATCTTCTTGTCTAGAACCATTCCCTGTATAATCGTGAGCTGTAGAGCTCTTCCCCGACTCAGTTTCCTCTTTTGCCATCAAAAGAGTGGATCTGACTTTTGGCTTCCTTTTCCTGGTTAGCGTGGTAGACTCCTTCAGGAATGACGGTGGAGGGGGGGCGGTGGCGGGGGTGGACACCCGCCCTCATCACTCAGCACTTTGGACTCCTCCGGAGGGGGATGCCTTTTGGATCTCTCTCTCTTTCATCTCTGCCTCCCTTGTTTCTCTCCTCTCTGGGCTATCTCTCTTCTTCCCTGTTCCTCTCTCCCTACTTCCTCCTCCTCTTTTCCTCCTCCTCCTCCTCCTCCTTGTCTCTCTGTCCCTTTTCCTTCCTTCCTCTTTCCCTCCCTCCCTGTCTTCTCCATCCCTCCTTCCCTTTGTCCCCCTCCTCCTCTTCCTCTCTCTTTCTTCCTTCCTTTCTCTTTTCTCCCCTTCTCTCTCTTCTTCCTCCTCTTCCCTCTCTCGTCCTTCCCTGCGCCATCCCTGTTTCTCCCTCTCTTCCCCTCCCCATTGTTAGTAGTCATGCAGCATACTTTAGAAAACCTAGATCCGGGGCTGGGAAGGTGGCTCAGTGGTAGAGCACTTGCCTTGCATGCCTGAGGCCCTGGGTTCAATTCCTCAGCACCACATAAGCAAAAAGAAAAGAAGCCAGAAGTGGCGCTGGGGCTCAAGTGCTCAAGTGGTAGAGCGCTAGCCTTGAGCTGAAGAGCTGAGGAACAGTGCCCAGGCCCAGAGTTCAGGCCCCACGACCGGACCAAAAAAAAAAAAAAGGAAACCTAGATCCATCTTGCCCTTGCTTCAAAAATAGAGTTACTTTTAAACTGGAAATCTGCATGTTCCTGGCAGGCTAGCTCAGTGCTTTGCAGGGCTATAACTTCACCCCTGGGCCTGAAATTGTTCCTGAAAGGATTTCTAAGCTTAAAGGTGTACAGTGGAGAAAGCTATCCTTAGGAAGGCCAGGTACACATAGAGCAGTTCTCCAAAACCACCCACCCTGCCAAGATTCTGGTCTGCCTGATGTGGGTTTGGTATGTAGATTATTATAAATAATTATAATTTAGGTAGCTTTAATGAGCCCTGGACCTCAAGGCCAACTCTTAACTAATCCCATCGCTGGAGACGCAATCATCCAAAAATAGTGTGCTTGACTTCCCTGAATTTCTGTTACGATTTTTGAACACAGTTCTTAAATTTTACTTAATAAATCATTTCCTATTGAGAGGTGAGGCAGAGGTGAAAGAGAAAACAATGAGTTTTTCACTCGCGCTAGAAATCCTTTAATCTCTTTGGATCCAAATTTCCCTAGGCCCATTTAAAAAAAAAAAATCTGAAGTCTGACTTCCTTCCACTATTCAGTTCCAGCCTCAAATGTTTTACATGATAAAACAGGGAGTTCCTCATTAGATTTTCCCATGTCTTCAAATGACTGATACGAAGAAAACCAGATAAAAATGTGCAATGCTTCCACCATCTTGCCTTGGATGGCTGTAGGCTGAGTGGGAAGCTCAGGGCAGTTGACACATGGCAGTAGAAAACCTGAACCATCTCAAAAAAGAGAGCCTGCAGTAATATCCGATGATACCTTTCGTGCGTGCAACACCATATGGACTTAGCATAAGAGAACCATGAGGTAATAGAGTCTCAGCATGGGCCATGCTTTTGCATGAGTTTGCTATTGAATTTGGAAACCTGCAAGTGCGTGAAGCACATCAAAATCCAGGAGTTTCAACTTACTTGGACACTTGGAAGGTAGTTTCAACAAAGAAACCTTATACAGGTGCTAGATTGTTTTTTTTTTCCCCTTACCAAGATGAGATATATTTTAATTATACCATCCAAATGTATGACTGATAACATTTATTTGCTTGTCCATTCGAGCTAACTGATTTGCTATTGGGTAGGCAAAAGAATGGTACATAGGATCAGTGTTGATTAGCAATAGGTGTTCAGTAATCGGTAATAGAGATTCTCAAAATCAAGTTCAAATGAACCAGAGAAAGAAAAGAACAAAATCTAAGTTAAAATGTGCTATTGAGAGTTCTTCATCGTCAGATCTGTGACAATCTAAGACACCCGGTATGGAAAGGAATATGAGCTTGCTGCTCAGAGGCTCTGTTTAGTGTGTGTGTGTGTGTGTGTGTGCGCGAGCTTTGAACTGTGATTCTCAGATCTCAGCCTCCTGATTAAAATTATAAGCATGAGCCACCAGGCCCAGCTCTAATTTATTTTTTCAGTAGAAGAAAAGGTCAAAAGAAAAGGCATAACTGGATGACTGGATGACTATTTTATACTTATTTACATTTTTTAAACTAAGTTTATGAGTACAATGCAGCTTTGATCAATGCCATCCTACATTAAATATTTATGATAAGCAGGCATAAGCTTTTCACCAAGTAAAAATAAACTAATTATAATAAAATTAGGTGGGTTTGTTTTTGACGCCATATCTTGCTAGACAGCCTCAAATTCATGATCCTCCTACCATGTCCAAGCCCTCTCCATCCCCCCCAAAAAAGAAAAAAAAACAGCATTTTTAAATGGACCAGAGAACATATTTTTTAAAAGTGTTAAAATTATTGACTTGCACTTTACTTTTCTCTCCTCATTGTGCAAAGCATATTAAAAATGGCTGGTGCAATTCCAGTGGGCACATGACATATCTTGAATCTTTTTGTCAGAAGTGTCCATTTTCCTGCCAGTCCTCTGACTCTCTATAAATTCCAGGCAGTGCTGGAATGCACTCCTCCTGCTCAGAAGGCCAAGCACCTGTTTAATTTCACACTCCCTTGGTTCCTCAGGATAAACCCCAGATCCACAGTGTGGGCTCCAGTTAAATTCATTACTGGTCCAGATGTGCGTCTCCCGGTCAGCTGGCCTAGTAACCCTGCTGTTTATTGACAGGTTCTCAGGAATCAGATAGCTCCCAGTCAGCCAAGAAAGACATGCTGGCTGCCTTGAAATCCAGGCAGGAAGCTCTGGAGGAGACATTGCGCCAGCGGCTGGAGGAGCTGAAGCGTCTGTGTCTCCGGGAAGCGGTAAGCAGTTAAACCTGTGTTGTCTGACGTCATCATCTATACCTATGGAAGGAAGGAAGGGTGGAGCCGGTTCTGGCAACCTCCAAACCTCTACCAGGTACTCTGGCACACACAGGAAGTAGATCTGGAGAGAAAATCACTTGTTATAATTGGTGCCAGCAGTCCCCTAACTGGGACCCTGCCAGAAGTCCAATGACAAGGCAGATGAACAATTCCTTTTCCATGCACGGAGGCTTATAAAACATTTCCTCTCGTGTCATTACCTCATTCGTTAGAGTGGCTTGACTCTATTTTTCCAAGAGTATCTATCTGGATTTATGGTTGGGGGAAGCGTTTGCTTTTCCTAAAGACATTTCAGATATCATTGTGGGTCTGCAAGGTTACAAGATGTGACTGAAATACTCAGTAATCCATTTTTTAATTAGGTTTAATATTTTAAAATTCTTTGGTACTGGTTCTGTTGCTTGAACTCAGGGCCTGTGCACTGTCCCCGAGCTTTCTTGCATAAGGCTAGCCACTCTTATCACTTGAGCCATAACTCTCTACTTTTGGCTTTTTTGGTGATTAATGGAGGTAAATGTCTCATGGACTTTCCTGCCAGTGCTGGCTTTGAACTATGATCATCAGATCTCAGCCTCCTAAGGTCACAGGCGTGGGCCACCAGTGCTTGGCAATGCTCAGGAAATCTTTTAAGTTCCCGACATAGTATTCTGGCATTTTGCTGGTTAATTGGAAATAAGATTCTCTTCATATGTCTGACCCCAGCTGGCTTTCAACTTTGATCCTCTGATCTCAGCCTCTTGAGTAGCTAGGATTACAGACTTTTTTTTTTTAATTTTTGGATTTTTTTGTGATTTTTTTTTTCAGTTGTAGGCCTTGAACTGTACGCCTAGGCACTGTCTCTGAGCTCTTCAGCTCAAGGCTAGTGCTCTTAAACACTCAAGCCACAGCACCACTTCCAGTTTTCTGGTGGTTAATTGGAGATAAGAGGCTCATAGACTTTCCTGCTCAGGCTGGTTTTGAACCATGATCCTCAGGTCTTAGCCTTCTGAGTAGCTAGGATTACAGGCGTGAGCCACTGGCACCCAACATTTTTAAATTTTTCAATGCAGTGTTAGTCTAGCATTATAAAACTTAGTCTAGCATTGTAGTCTAGCATTATGAATTGGATGTAAAGCAATGTCTCCTCTAGCTTCTATCTAGTCTCGTCTTCATTTTTATGAGCACGTAGTGACTTCTGCCATCCATGCCTATGTTTATTTGTGCCTGTGTTTACAATGTGCATTTGTACCTTCTTCTGTTGTGGACTGTATGGCTCTTGGTCACCAATGTTCAGGGACTTCAATGTTTAGTGTGCCTGTGTGTGCGTGTGGTGTGCTTGCACGTGGGCATGGGGAAGTTGCTATTCTGGGCGATCAGAACATGACACAGAGCTCTGTGGGTAAACAGTTCAGAATGGGAACTAGAAAGAGCTTCCCAAACAAAGTGTGAGCCCCCCAAATACTAATGCCTTGCATCAGGAGGGGGTTGTAGAATGAGATCACATTACACTTCAACTTGGCTTAATTATGGTCTGGATTGATTTAAACCAGAGCCCACTCAAAGCAGAACCACATTAGCACAAATCCATTGGAAATCTTAGGAAAGCAATCGTCCCAGCCAGGGGGAATGTGCTATGTGATACCGTTAATGTTAGCAACGATTTTACAAAGAATATGCTGGAACAATAGGAAAAAAAATTATATATATATATATATATATATATATATATATATATATATATATATATATATATGGGTTTCAGTGTCTGTCTTTAATAATATGTACAGCTTTGTTTTGTTTTTAATAAAAGAAAAGTCTCTAAACCCAGCAGTGAATCTCCATTAGAAAATAGAAGAAACATGTCCAGGCGAGGTGAGTGTGAGGCTTTTAACAGTCCCACGGTCTCGCCTCAAACAAAAACCAAATCAGAACACAGAGCTCCCACTTCGTACAACGTTGACAACACAAAATCCAACTTGAGCAGCAGAAGGGAAAAAAACCAAAAACCCAAAGGCAGCTACTTGTTCCTTTCTGCTTAACTCGCTCCCCTTTTAGCTCTCAGAAAAGTCAGGAAATCAGGGCTGAGCCCTGGAGAGCCAGGGCAGGCAGGAGGCCTAGTGGGAGCTTTGGACTTTCTATAAAGACATAAACCCAATGAAGGCGCCACGCACAGCAGTGCATTAAAGTTACCTCTCTGCCATGCAGCTCTGGTTACATATAAAATCAAATTAAATACCTGTGGAATCAAGCCTCAAACCCAGGTGACTTCAAGCCAATGGTGGAAAACCAGTAGCCCCATTTTTACCATATATTTTAAAACCACAAACCCTTTAGAGTTATAAACCCATGACACCATAACAACCTTTCCTCTCCTTTTTTCCTAAGTTTCAAGGCAGGAAAAAAAGAAAAGTCCTGACCATGTGGAACCCTCGATAGTTTGCATTCATTTATCGACAGCCTTGGAGGGGAACAGGATAAAAAGTTGCAGAATAGACACGTGACTGCTTGGGAGATATTTGAATGGCATTTTTTTTAAAGAATAAAAACAGAGACTGACATAGCAAAATGGTCTGTGCTCCGATAGTGGCCATTGTGCTCTGAAATGCTTACACAGAGGAATAAAAAAAAAAAACTACCAGGTCACTCCCAGTGATGTGGGTGCAGCAGGAAAGAGATGCAGGACAGCAGAGATGCAGGAGAGCCGATGGTGTGCGTCTCTGTGGGTACATGCACAAGCACAGCAGTACATCAGCACACAGCAGAATGAGAGAGGCCGCAGTGACCCCTCCCTGCGGTGGGATCCCCTGCCATTGGCTGCTAAGGACTGGATTGGCCAGCCCAAAAGCCTTTTCCTGGGATACTCGCAGTTCCCAGACACTGCTAAGCCCTTCCTGATCAGAGCAGCCCGCTGCGTCATTGTGTATATAGCATCTGCATTGGTTTAGGGCCAGACCTGGTCTTTGCTGGACATTGTCCTTGGCGGAACACAGTAGTTTTGGAGGTTACCTCTTGCAGTCCAGTCAGGCTAAGCCTCCACAGCCTGGGTCAGCTGCTTACTCCAGTTGATCTTTATTCATGAAGCCTCAATGTAGCACACTCATGGAGGGCCTACTTCTAATCCTGATCTACTTCATTCCTGAGATCTTGCACTGACCCTGGGTTGTTGTGTTCATCGGGGTCTGTCATTCTATCCCCGATAATTAGATCCCCAGAGCCCAAAGCACACACTCAACAGAATTACAGAATTCATTAGATACCTTGTCAGTGAAAATAGATTAACTTAAAACTCTTAATTTTACACACGTTAGTCTTTTTTTTTCTTTTTTTTTTTTTTTTTTGCCAGTCCTGGGGCTTGAACTGTCTGAGCCTGAGCACTGTTCCTGAGTTTCTTTTGCTCAAGGCTAGCACTACCACTTGAGCCACAGTGCCACTTCTGGCCTTTTCTGTGTATGTGGTACTGAGGAACCGAACCCAGGGCTTCATGCATGCTAGGCAAGCACTCTACCACCGAGCCACATTCCCAGCCCAGGTTAGTGTCTTTTTTTTTGTTTTTGGTCTGTTGTGGGGCTTGAGCTCTGGGCCTTAGCACTGTCCCTCATCTCTTCAGCTCAAGGTGAGTGCTCTACCACTTGAGCCACAGCATCACTTCTGGTTTTCTTGTGATTTATTGGAGATAGAGTCTCACGGACTTTCCTGCCCAGGCTGGCTTTGAACCGTGATCCTCAGATCTCAGTCTCCTGAGTAGCTAGGATTACAGGGTGTGAGCCACTGGTGCCCGGATTAGTGTCTTTTTACGTTCAGCCTATTCCTTGAGTATCTGGCCAGAGTGGAGTATTTACTGTCCATACTCAGTCTTTAAATTATGTAGTGCATTTTTTTCTGTGATTCACCATATAAATACCACTCCTCTTAAGAGAAATCACTTGAAAGAACTTTTCAACTGAGATATTGCAGGGGATATTTGATACAGGGCAGAGAACACATGGTTGGACTATGGAGTATGGCCCAAGCAAGTGCAAGGTCCTGAGTTCAAAACCCCAGTACCTCCCTTTCCTAGAAAGTCAGAGGACAGGGTTTAGAATAGAAAGTCCCTATAGATGGTATAGCTGCTGCATACTGGTTGTGTGATCTTGCCTGGCTGTGATCTTGCCACTGTGGGTATAGGGGGTTTCTAAGTAGATTGGCAAGTGAGTCGAATTGTAGTTGTGTTTAAGCCAGTCAAACTTTTATTTACTTTTGATAGAAATTGATTCTGGGGAAAAAGGAAAGAAATAATAATAATAAAAAAAACAACTTTCCAAAGTGCAGGTATTCTGTAGAGAAAAGAATGTCACACATTTTTATAGAGGTGAAATTTCATTTCCTGAAGTCTTATTTAGGCATAGACTTATTTATATATGGAATGTGTGTGTTGATGGGTGCGTGCATGATCGTGTGCGTGTAGCATCAATGCTGGCACACGTGCTGTGCGATGATTTATCACCGCTCTGAATGCTGTTTCCATACACACAGGAGCTCACTGGGAAACTGCCTGTCGAATATCCCCTAGATCCAGGAGAGGAACCGCCTATTGTTCGGAGAAGAATAGGGACTGCGTTCAAGCTGGATGAGCAGAAAATCCTGCCCAAAGGAGAGGTGCGGTGCCCTTCCCTTCCCTTCCCTTCCCCCTCCCTTAGGACCTCCAAGTTCTCTGCAAAGGTTTCTCCATTGCTTCCTAATACCAGGAGCTCGCCTTCGTCTCTTGCAGAGTGAGCTGGTTCCTTGGTATGTGGTTCTCTTAGGAGGATGACTTTGTTTACCTTTGGAGGCCTTTGGCTTTGGTTGAAGTTTATTTGTCTAACACTCTAGGCCAGTTGCTAGTGGCCCCCGTTAAGTTTGAGGGGAACATTCTGGGGATGCCTGTACCTCCTTGTCTCTGCAGTGGTGGCCCTGCCGCGGTGACTCAGAGTCTTACCTCATCGGGTCTGTGGAGGGGAGCAGGAGGAGAGGGAAAGGCAGGGCCTTGTCCCCAGGGGCACTGTTCAGAAAGGCCTGCCTTCCCCGTCTGAATTTACCTGGTTGCTGAAACTAGTGTGTATTCGGGCAAAAGGCGTGAAATCCATCCTGGACTCACGTGTCTGTATTTGGGAGAGACTTATTTCAAAAGGTTTTTTTTGTTTGTTTTTTGATCCTGTTTTGTCTGAACACTGGTGAGGGCCAAGACTGGAGAAATCAGTTTGGGGGGGATAGAGGCTCCCAAAACAAAACACTTGAACCTCTGATTGAGTAGCAAGTATCCAGCAGCAAGTATCATCCAGAAATGAAGGGCAAGTGGACCTTCTGCTCCAGGGTCTCCCCAAATCTCTTCTGAATAGTTACTCATTAACATGAGACCCAAGAGGGCAGGACTGAGCCCAGGGAACAGAATGGAGTGTACTTTCAGTCTTTTGAGAAAGCGATTGAGAGGAACATGGCTTCCTAGCGTGAGACATGGTGTGGACACAGAGAGGAGGACACTCAGGTGCCTGGGGTGGGGGTGGGTCCCTGGAAGTGCTAGGAAATCACCTAAAACTGCAGTCTCAGGTCCCCCAGGAGGCTGAGTGCACACCCACAATGAGGTCTGCCCAGGCCAGGTTTGCAGTGCTAGGGTTAAGTGAGTGATAGATGAGAAGCTGTCCCCTGGCCACTTTGGGGTCTTGGTTGTACTGTCTGTTGTGGGCTCCTGAGGGTTGGGCAGACTCCCATGAGCTCCCAGGTACCCAGCCTGCGACAGTAAAGAGGCGCAAATGTGAGCATCACAGAGCCGGCTCTCAGGGGAAAGAGAGGAAATTAAGGAGCGGACATCCTGATGCATTAAGGGGGGTCCTGCCTTTGCCTCCCCCCGTCCTCCAATCATGCAGAGGAACAGCTGTGCCACAGAGGCTGGCAGCAGACACGCCATCAACATGGGGTGGGGAGGGAACCTGGGGCACCTCTGACATCCTGGCCAAAGACAGGGGCTGAGCCAGGAGGGAGCTAGCCCAGAAAGAGGAAGGAAGGGGACCCTGAACACCATCCAAGTTGCTGAGGGAAAACTGGTTCTACCACCACCTACTCTGCAGGCCCCGTGTGGGGGCCAAGCCGGGCAGGGCTCCCTGAGCAGGCAGGTGTGTGGATGGCTGGGGCTTGTAAAAGCAGCCAGGTCAGTGAGGACGTGTCCCAACACGAGGGACACGAAAGTGTGACAGAGGGCAGGGGTGAGCTAACTCAGAAGACTGTTCTAGAAATCGGGCCACTTCCTGTGCCCCAAATGGAAGGAAAATGACAGCTGGATGAATGTCCCCAGGAGCCTTGTTCGAGGCGGGAGAAATGAAGCCAGGCAAAGCTTGGGAAGGGATTCAGGGTAGGATGGGGGGGTTGGAGCCCCACCCCCCATGTGCCATCTTCCATGATAGATGATGACTCCCCCCAAAATAAATGAATACAAAAAACCACAGGAAGCAGAGCTGGAGCGCCTGGAACGAGAGTTCGCCATTCAGTCCCAGATCACCGAGGCTGCCCGCCGCCTGGCCAGTGACCCCAACGTCAGCAAGAAACTGAAAAAACAAAGAAAAACCTCGTACCTGAATGCACTGAAGAAGCTGCAGGAGATTGAAAATGCCATCAACGAGAACCGAGTCAAGTCCGGGAAGAAACCCACGCAGAGGACCTCGCTGGTCATAGACGGTCAGTGCCAGCCCCTCCCACGGCCACATAGCGGCCACGTGCACACAGTGACAGCCCCGTGGGGGGAGGGGGAGGCAAGGGTCTCAGGACCTCACCTCTGATGTCTCCCCTGAAGGAGCAAGCAACACCCACACACCCCCCCCACTCCTCACCATGATCAGGGTGACTAGGCTAGCCCAGGCTAGGCCAGAGCTAACCCACTCCCTAACCCACCCCCACCTCCACTCCCACCCCTGCCAATCTCAGGGATCTGCCTACTCCTCTCCAAGGCTGGAAGGCAAGGTGGACAGCTTGTAGGATAAGCAAGTAGGGGACCACTCCCTGCTACCCTCTGGCCCCCCAATCTCCCACCCCAGGCTGATTGGGTGGCCAGGACCCTTCTAGCAAAAACTGTGACTTGGGAGGCCCTGGCTATCCCCTCAGATTGTCCGGAGCCCTGAACCCCCCATCTGGGCTTAAGGGTTTGGCTAATGATGTTTGGTAAATTCCAGAAGGAAATTCCCCTCCATCCGCCAACACACTTCGAGTCTCCCTAATGATCGTAAACTTTTTCTTTTCTCTTAAGTCCGCAGATTCTTGATAGCCTATGTGGAGTGTTCTGTATATACTTTTGCTCTAGAAAGGCAGAAGAATAGAAGTTTCCAAAAGGTTTATTGGGAGGGGGAGGGTTCTGGGTGGATGCAGCCTGGGAGGTTTATTATCCAGACAGGTCGGACAACTGTGAAGGGTATGCTGTGTCCCTGCATGGAGCGCAGAATGGTTAGGCATTATGAACTGCATGTTGGGTATCTTGTGCCACAATTATATATGTGTCTACAGCCTAAAATGTGGGCATACCAGGGAAGCAATGGCAGGCTGGAGATTCGGATCAGAACCTTCCATCCCCTTGCCCACATCCACCTGACAATATAAAGAAGTGAATTCCAATGGGAAGGCCATTAAAAAAAATCCTTTCATGCTCTAGGAAACTAGAAATGGCCATCTCTCTACTATCTCCACTTTCCCCAACTTTCTTACACACAGCCTTCTCTCGCTTACACCTCCTTTGAGGCCCACATCTGCCCCTCCAAGGCACTTGGACTTTCCAGCTCTGCGGAAAAAAATCCAAAAACCTGAGGCCAGCTCAGGTTTAAAAAAAAAAAAAAAAAGATAGGGAGACCCTATCTCAAAGAACAAGCCTGGAGTAGTGGCATAGATCCATAATCCCAGGTACCGTACTTGTAACAGGAGGATCATAGTTCAAGGCCAGCCCAGGCCCAAACCTGGTAACTAAAAAGGGCTGGAGGCATGGCTCAAAGCACAGGTCCCTGAGTTCAAACCCCAGTACCACTAAACAAAAAAATTAAAGATAAAACTCTAAACTTGGAATCTGAAGAGTGTAGCCCTTTGCTGACTTGCCAGGGAACAGAGCAAGTTCAGACAAACCCATCTTCCTAGGTTTACCTTAGTTTCCCCAGTGGAATTTAATTTATGTGAAATAAGGAGGATTATTTTACTGTCAACCAGTTGGGTGTGCTCGTAATTGAATGGTGTCTATAAAAATAAGCTTTAGAGAGACAGAGTCTGTACTTAGCAGGCATGTTTTCTCTCCTAATGACTTCAGTTTATTGAGAAACCATTTATTGCCATGTGAGCAAAACTTAAGTTCCCTTCTCGAGTTTCGCATTTGTGTCATAAATAGCAGTTGACTTCCTCTGGTGCAGTCAGTACATGCCCCGAGTTAGTGCTGGGACAATGATGTGCTTAGTGGGACCTGGCAGCCTTTATGTGATAGGAAAACGCTCTGCAGTGGTATCCCCTCAATCAGAACAAAACCCACAAAGGCGGGTGCCTTGTGCTCTCTGGGGTAGGGCCTGTCAAAACACCTCAAAGCACTGCCATTGTATTCCATGGATTCTTTCTTTGGCATTAGAAAGAGAAGGGGAAGGGGTGGTCATACACCCAAGTCCTTTTGTTCCCACAGAGGAACCAACCCAACCTCTTAGATTCAGCTTTACTTATTTGTTTATTTTTGGTCTTCTAGATGGAAATATTGCCAGCGAGGACAGCTCCCTCTCCGATGCCCTTGTTCTTGAAGATGGTAGGTTTTGATTTCTGGCTCTCAATGGAGGGATAGTGGTGAAGTCTGAGTTGTTGTGCATGCGGTAATGGAGACAGCCTTGGCTGAGGGGGAAAGCCAGGCCAGGTGGCAGCTGGATTCCTGCCCACATCCATGACTGAGTCGAAAGCGGGTGGGTGTTATTGATTGGAATCCTTTTAGAGTATTTCCTTTGGCCCGGAGGTAAAATGGGATTTAAAAGAAAAATACTAAACAGAGAATCTGTAGTTTGTGTATAGTTTCCTGTGGAGTATTCATGTCGTGGTGAGAGGTGGAAATAGATTTGGATCAAAAATCAACACAGAGTCCTGATGTCGGTAGTTCACACCTGTAATCCTAGCTACTCAGGAGGCTGAGATCTAAGGATTGTGGTTCAAAGCCAGCCTGGGCAGAAAAGCCTCCATGAGACTCTTGCTCCAGTTAACCATTCATAAACTCGAAGTGATAGAGCACTAGCCATGAGCAAAACAAACACAGAACCAACCAGAGTCTAGACTAGTTGGAGGGAAGAAAATCCACCTCTGGTACCTTCTGAGACAGCGTGGGGGGATGCCCTTTCCACATCTGGCCAGCCATGGACATTATCGACATTATCCTATTTCCATTAGATGCTCCAGCCCTGTCCCTTGGCAGTTTATCCCCTTTCCCCCAGCTCTGTACTGGGGTTTGAACTTAGGACCTCACACTCACTCAGCTTCCTTGTTCAGCTGGTGTGCACTAGCACTTGAGCCACCCAGCTTTTTATTGGTTACATGAAAATGGAGACTCTCAGACTTTTATGGCCCAGGCTGGCCTTGATCTGCCATCCTCCAGACCTCAACCTCCTGGGTAGCTAGGATGACAGGTAAAAGGCACAGCTGTGATATTTTCATAACGAGTCTTAGCAAAGCCACACCATCACCGTCTCCAGCCAAAGTTAAGAATTCCAAAACTCGGAACCATTTCTGAGTCTTGCTGTGGGTGTTAAACCAAATGATTAGGAGGGGGAACATTAATTACATAGAAATATATTAAGTGGCAGTTAATTTTTTTGCCCTCTGGGGAAACCTCAGGCAGGCAGTGATAAGTGGTTTTTCAGAGGGAAAACATAAAAGGCCTACCCAAGTCCTAGCAATAATGATAATTGCAATAATAATAGTCATTGCTCTTGATGTGGGGAACGTCTGGTGAGTTATTTACCCAGTCCTCTTGGCTCTACTTATTACAAGTCAGATTGGAATATTTTATTGTCTGCTTCATACATGGAGGTATATGGAGGCATCCAAGAAACAGAAATGCATTTTCTGTTCTGGTGTGTATGCGTGTGTGCGTGCGTGCGTGTGTGTGTGTGTGTGTGCGCGTGCGTGCGTGCGTGCGTGCGTGCGTGTGTGTGTGTGTGTGTGTGCGTGCGTGCGCTGATCCTGGGGCTTGAACTCAGGGCCTGACAGTCCCTGAGCTTTTGTGTTCAAGCCTAGCACTCTACAGTTTGAGCCATAGCTCTGCTTCTGTCTTTTCGGTGGTTAATTGGATATTAGAGTCTTATGGTCTCGCCTGCCCAGACTAGCTTCGAATCACAATCCTCAGATCTCAGCCTCCTGAGTAGCTAGGATAGCAGGCGTGAGCCACCGGCACCTGGCTAAGATTCATTTTCAGTGCCAAATGTCCAACCCTGTTATGACTTCCGGTGCCCCCATCTCTTCTGGGAAGGGAACAAGAACCAGTTAGTGAAGTTCTTTTGTGACAGAGGAGTGACCAGAGCAACAGGTAATGTTAGCTCGAGCGAGACATCAGTCTTGGTCATCCTTTCCTCCCCATGTTCCCAGGTCTCCAATATCCTGAAAGCGCCCTTGTGCCACTTTGTGTCCCAGACTCCCACTGCAGGGAAGGGGGGCTGGTCCTCCCCCTCCCCCTCCCCCTCTGCCCCTCGCTCTCCCTCTTTCCCTCTCCCTCTCAATCTCTGTCTGTCTCTGTCTCTCTCCGCATTACTGGGGTTTGAACTCAGGGTCTTACGCTTGCTAAGTAAATGCTGTTCAGCTTGAGCTGTGACGCTTCCCCCCATGCTCACCCCCTTTTTTTTTTCATTCTTTTCTGATAAGGTCTCACATTTTGTCCCATAGCTCAGATCACAGGCATGCACCACCACACCCAGCCCTCAGTTTCTAGACCTCCTGTATTGATTTGGGAGGCAGGGGGTGGGGGGCAAAGGAGGGGTGGGAGTGTATTTAGGCTTCTGGGTTAAGGGTTGAGAATGTCGCTGTGAAACCCCGTGCCTGCCTGGTGGTGGCCCCCCTCCACCCGTTCCCTATCCGTCCCCCATGCCCTCCCACCCCGCCTTACCCATGAACACAAAGGTCCTTCCTCCTCTGCCCCAGGATCTCATTACAAGACACAAGACATCTTTGCTGGTCCTCCCTCATCCCTCTCTCCTGTCCCAGCCCCAACCTGCCAGATGAATCATTCTGCAGCAGGATTTCCATCCTAACTATGTGACTCGCGCTTATCAACGACGTGCAGAGTTCTCCTGCAGTTCCCCTCTGCTTGCCTGCCATTCAGGTCCCAGGCAGTGCTCAGGGCTCCTTGCTTGTCATGGTGCCACCCCGAAACCCGGCCCCCTTGCTCTCTCCTCCCCCTTTTACCAGCCACTGCCCAGCTGGACTATGCCCACGGCTCTCACCAGCCATCACCACTGCATGCTCCGGCCCTGTGTCCTTCCTTCCTCTTCCCCATGGTGCCTTCCCCTGTCCAGCTGCAGCACTTCCTCTAAAAGTCTTCTACCTGCCCCACCGTGCCCATGGGAGATGGAGCAACCCCAAGGCCCTTCCTAAATGAAATTCCACCCACACAAGCCCAGAGATGTAACTCAGTGGTAGAGCACTTGTGTTGCTCGTGTGAGGCCCTGGGTTCAGTCCCAGCACTGCCAATTAATTAAAATATATCAGAACAGACTAAGAATATAGGTAGTTCTGGAATTAAAACAAACAAACAAAAAAAAGACTAAATAACTAGATCCATGGGCAGAGAATCATACTTGGTGGATATACATACATTTTCCCCCCTCCATTAAATGTCTCTTGAGCACCTGCTGAGTGTCCACACTCATTCCTGATCCTGAGGGCATCGTAGAGGGCGGAGCAGACAAAACCCTCCTGAAGCTTAAATTTCCCCCAAACAAACTTGATGTTTACTGTTTCTTTTTTTTTTCTTTCTTTCTTTTTTTTTTTTTTTTTGGGTCCGGTCGTGGGGCCTGAACTCTGGGCCTGGGCGCTGTCCCTCAGCTCTTCAGCTCAAGGCTAGCGCTCTACCACTTGAGCCACAGCGCCACTTCCGGCTTTTTTCTTTTTGCTTATGTGGTACTGAGGAATCGAACTCAGGGCCTCAGGCATGCAAGGCAAGCGCTCTACCACTGAGCCTCCTTCCCAGCCCTGTTTACTGTTTCTTAAAGTTACAAAGTAGGGGTTTAGCTCCATGGAAAGCCTCAGGTTCAATCCCACCACCATAAAAGAAAACAGTTACAATAAAGCCAGGCATGGTAGCACATGTCTATGATCCTAGCTAGGGGAAAAAAGCATAAGTAGGGGACTGCTTGATAAAACAACTTTAAAAAAGGGGAAAAAAAGGCTGAGGGCATAGCTCAAGTGGTAGAGTGCTTGCTAGAACAAGGCCCTGGGTTCAAGTCCCTGTACTACAAAAACAGGAGTTGTGATATACTAAATAGTAAGTACGTTCTTGCTGTGATTTGAAAGCTATTGGATAGAATTTAGGCTTTAATTAACAGGATTCATTCATTAAAAGGGCCACCTCTCCTCCCAGCTCATTCTGCTGGGAGTTTAGATCTGCAGAGTCCCAGGGCTCTCGGGGGACACAGGTGGAGCTTTGCCACGTGGCTCCAGCGTGCTGGTGGCAGTAGTGGGGTGACCGAGACTTGTCTTTCTTCCTGTCTCCATGCAGAAGATGCTCAGGTTACCAGCACAATATCCCCCTTACAGTCCCCGCACAAGGGACTCCCCCCACGGCCGCCGTCCTCACACAACAGGCCCCCGCCTCCGCAGTCCCTGGAGGGACTCAGGCAGATGCACTATCACCGCAGCGACTACGACAAGTCCCCCATAAAGCCCAAGATGTGGAGCGAGTCGTCTCTGGATGAGCCCTATGAGAAGGTCAAGAAGCGTTCCTCCCACAGTCATTCCGGGTGAGTCGGGCCAGGAGGCCCAAAGCAGGTCACTGCCGACATTGCCTGTCCTTGTCCACGAAGGTGGCCAGAGCTCACCTACAGACCCCAAGTCCTCCCCCCACATAGTCCTCCCCCCACATAGTGCTCCCATAATGCTCCATAGCCTGGCTTTGCCTTTCTGTGCTCACAGCGCCCTCTGCTGCCCACTCGGTCGAGGCGCAGGGAAACTGGCAGGCCTGGCTCACACTCAACCTGCTGGCAGATGGCTTTAACGTTGTTAAGTTCCACGGGAGATCTTTAGGCAGCACAGTTCCAAGATGGCAAAACGAGAGGCCACTCACAGGAATCCCAAAGCGGTGCGAAATCCAAAACCGTCTTCCGGCAGAGTTGTAGAGCCAAGCTGCTGCAACCTGAGCTGCGCATTATCAGCTCATTCCTTGGATAATATTGTAGACAGCGTTGGGGTTCTGGGGAGGTTTTTTTGGAAGGCACTTCTGGTTCAAGTCTGTGTTTTTCTCATTTCCGTTCATTACACACCCTATAAAGACCTGGGGGTGGAAGGCTCCAGAAATAAAGACATAAAGGGAAGGCTTCATAGAATAGAGAGATTGTCTAGGGAGAGTCTGTATCTGCTATTGACTGAAGGGGGGGAGTAGGGACAAGCCCCCCTCACCCCACACCCCATTGCTGGAGAAAAGGCAGCGATCCGGAGGGGAGAAAGGGAGTCCTGCACCAGCCTCCCATCCATCCCGGGAGCTCTGCACCCCACGTTGCTCAGGCCCGCGGGTAAAGGTGCCTGGCTGTCGGGCAGGGGTGTGGAGCTTGGCTTGCCTGCTTGGTCCTCAGCAGCCACAAGCGCTTTCCCAGCACGGGGAGCTGCGCCGAGGCCGGCGGCGGCGGGGGAAGCGGCTCCTTGCAGAACAGCCCCATCCGAGGCCTCCCGCACTGGAACTCGCAGTCCAGCATGCCCTCCACGCCAGACCTGCGCGTCCGGAGCCCCCACTACGTCCATTCCACGAGGTGAGTCCTCCGGCCCTCCGCACCTCGCCTTGGTCTATAGCGAGGCATGGTGAACCCCTAGCCGTGGCCAAAGGACAGGTGAGCTGGAATCCGGCCTGAGCCAGTAAGACGAGGTCTCTTTGTAAGTGAAAAAAGCTTGAAAACCAGAGCAGTCAGACTACGTTAGCCAAGAAATCTGACAGCCCCCTTTGCACATCTAGGGACACGGGGCGTCCACTAGGGGATCCCCAGGCTCCTGGATCAGCGTCCTCAGTGGACTTGGAGGCAGGAAAGCTGGTTAACACCGGAAGTGGGGAATCCCAATCACCCTTGCACTGACCTTGATTTATTTGATAGTATGCCCAGGATTATTTCAGACTGGCTTTAATGCTCCAGATATAAATTAACAGCAAGTAAAACAGGCAAAAAATTAAGCTTCAGTATATTGCATCCATCTTCTCAAACAGAAGTAAAGCCAGGTCATGGAAAGTCCCTTGCTGGGGGCCTCCAGTGGGGGCTTGAGTGGTGGAGGAGCCACCGTTGACTTCTTATCCCCAGCCTTGGGTACCATCATCTGTCCAGTGAGACAGGGCCACTGATGGAGTCAGGTAGCGGGGACTGTAGACAGCTCCACATAGGGTGAGTATTTGTACCATCTGTGGGGGGGGTGGGGGGTGGGATTGTGCTCCACCAAGCTTCCAGCGTAGAGTCTTCACGGGAAATGGTCATCAGTTTGTGTGGGTTTGGGAGTGATTTGTTTTAATCATATGAAAGGGTCTTTGTAGGAGCGTTGGTTTGGGTTTGGGTTTGGGGGGGGGGGTTAGTTCTGTCTTTTGAACCCAGGGCTTATACCTGCTAGGTAGATACTCTACCCTTTGAGCCATGCCTCTAGGCCTTTTTGCTGTAGTTTGTTTTTCATAGGGTCTTCTTCCTTTGCCGGAGCCAGTGTCTGATTAGCATCTAAACTTTGCCTCCTACCTGGCCAGGATTATAAATATATACCACCACACCTGGCCTTTTGTTGTTGTTGTTGTTATCTTTGCTCTTTTATCCTACAAAGATGACATTTTAAAAAAGGGTTTCTATAACACCAACAATATTGATCTGCTAGTTCTCTTCATATCTAGAACATTATTATGCACCTTAAAAAAAAAACAAAAACCCTCTAGTTGGGCACCAGTGGCTCAGGCCTGCAATCCTGGCTACTCAGAAGGCTGAGATCTGAGGATCACAGTTTGAAGCCAGCCTGGGCAGGAAAGTCTGTGAAACTCTTATCTCCACTAAACTACCAAGAGAACTGGAAGTGGCACTGTGGCTCAAGTGATAGAGTGCTAGCCTTGAGCAAAAGAAGCTCAGGGACAGCGCCCAGGCCCTGAATTCAAGCCCCAGCGCGCACACACACACACAGAGAGAAACTAGATATTGGCATGTACTTTTTAGAGGACTGCATGTCCTAGCTTCTGGCCCTCTGCCAGGCCCCACCCTTAGGAACCCAACTCTTAACTCCTGGTTCTGCCGTTGCTGGGCGCCCGCGTGGGTTTTGTGACCACCTCCCTGAGGCTAGGAGGGCCTAGGAAGTGGGGATTCCCCTGCACACGCAGGGGTTCCCATGGACCCAAACCTCGTCTTCCCCGCAGGTCGGTGGACATCAGCCCCACGCGGCTGCACAGCCTCGCTCTGCACTTTAGACACCGGAGCTCCAGCTTAGAGTCCCAGGGCAAACTCCTGGGTTCGGAGAATGACACGGGGAGCCCCGACTTCTACACCCCGCGGACTCGTAGCAGCAACGGCTCGGACCCCATGGACGACTGCTCGTCGTGCACCAGCCACTCGAGCTCCGAGCACTACTACCCGGCGCAGATGAACGCCAACTACTCGACGCTGGCGGAGGACTCGCCGAGCAAGGCGCGGCAGCGGCAGCGGCAGCGGGCGCGCGCGGCGGGCGCGCTGGGCTCGGCGAGCTCGGGCAGCATGCCCAACCTGGCGGCGGCGCGCGCGGGCGCGGGCGGCGCGGGCGGCGGCGTGTACCTGCACAGCCAGAGCCAGCCCAGCTCGCAGTACCGCATCAAGGAGTACCCGCTGTACGTGGAGGGCGGCGCCACGCCCGTGGTGGTGCGCAGCCTGGAGAGCGACCAGGAAGGCCACTACAGCGTCAAGGCGCAGTTCAAGACCTCCAACTCCTACACGGCCGGGGGGCTGTTCAAGGAGAGCTGGCGCGGCGGCGGCGGCGGCGGCGGCGGCGGGGACGAGGGCGACGCCGGGCGCCTGACCCCCTCGCGATCGCAGATCCTGCGGACTCCGTCGCTGGGCCGCGAGGGCGCGCACGACAAGGGCGCGGGGCGCGCGGCCGTGTCCGACGAGCTGCGCCAGTGGTACCAGCGCTCCACGTCCTCGCACCGCGAGCACTGCCGCCTGTCGCACACCAGCTCCACCTCCTCCGACAGCGGCTCCCAGTACAGCACCTCCTCCCAGAGCACCTTCGTGGCGCACAGCCGGGTCACCAGGATGCCCCAGATGTGTAAGGCCACGTCAGGTGAGAGGGCGCGCCCCGGGGGGAGGGGGGAGGCGGGGTCCTTAGACCTGGTGGGGATCATCCCTAAGGGGGGGGGGTGCGCTTGGATGTGGGGGTGGCAGGCCGACCTAGTCGGGCCCCCTTTGTTTTAGTTAGTTATGGGGCTTGAGCTCAGGGTCTGGAGCTTTTCTGCTTAAAGCTAGCACTCTGCCACTTTGAGCCACTTCTGGTGTTTAGGTGGTTACTTGGAGATTGGGGGGGGGAGGGGTGTCTCATGGCCTTTCCTGCCCAGGCCAGTTTTGAACTTCAACCCTGGGACCTCAGCCTCCTCCTGAGTAGCTAGGGTTACAGGTGTGAGCCACCAGCGCCAGGCTTAGAAATCTAAGGGTGCTGGATGAACTCCGTTCCTCAGGGTTTATCCAGCCCGAGGTGCCCCCTCTATTCTGGTGAGGAGGGATTAGAGGTTAAACAGGCAAGCTACAACTCTGCCAAACCGCAGAGGCCGGAACAGAACCAAGTGAGTGGATCGTGGAGGTACCATGGATTTTATGGTCCTGCAGCCTTCTTCCCAGTCCTCCTTCCTCTAAGTACCGTAAAGCAGTGTTCCAAGGCTGAGGCTGTACCTTCTGTGTACAGCTGAGCGGCAGGACCATCCATGACACTACCAGGGCAGACAGAGATAGAAAAGCTTATGTCCTGTCAACAGCACTCCTCAAGTTTGGCCGCCAGTCTTTTGGCATGTGTTAAAAAAAAACGTTCGAGAAGCCATGTCTATGATTGAGGAAAAGGATGCCATTTCCAAGAGAGCAAAGACTGCATCTACTGGGATTGCCATCCACCACTTCCCAGTGGACTCCTGTGGCCTGTCAGTAAATGGGGAGTATGTGGCTGAGTTATGAAGGTGCTGCCCATTTAGGCAGTGTTAAAAGTTAACAAATGGCAACCTGAACACACCTCAGAAGTCTGCAGAGAATAGGTGGAGAATCTTTCTGGCAGCTTCTCTGTCCCAGGGAGTCCCAAGGCAGAGGCTCCTGCTGTCCACAGAGCAGGCATCCCTGCATGAGCTCTGCCAGGCTCTCCCTCAAAGGGCCTTTGCTGCCTTTACCATAGAAACCAGACCCCTCCGGGGGATGGCTCCCGTGGCAAAGTGGGAACTTGGGGTCCCAGATCAGCCCAAGTCAGAATGGAGGCACCTGGTTTGGTGGATGTACAGAGATGTTTGTGCACTGTGATTGTGCTGTGGGGTCACCAAGACCCTGCCAAAGGGGCTGTAGCCTGAATCCCTGGCAATGGGGCCCCATGCTCAAAGGTGCAGAGGCCATGTCCCGAGCTCCTTCACCTGGTCTCAGCCATGTCCTCTCCCTCTTTCCCACTCCCTCCGTGTGCAGCTGCCTTACCTCAGAGCCAGAGAAGCTCGACGCCGTCCAGTGAGGTTGGAGCCACCCCCCCAAGCAGCCCCCACCACCTCCTGACCTGGCAGACGGGGTGAGTGTTCCCTCCCTGCCGCGCCTGGCTCTTCTGCATTCTAGGCCATGTCTGAACATTGTCAATGGGAGACCCTAGTGATGCAAGACATAGGAGCAAGCAAGTTAGCAGGGCTCATGATGGGGACATGGCTTTGTTTCCAAAGAAACTTCATGAATCACTCACTGACCCCTTCTACCTCTGTCCTCTGTTCTTTATGGGGGTGAGTTCTGTACGTATGCTTTCACAGTAGGTCATGAACCCCACCTTCACCCCCCTCCCCAGAATGTGGGGAGGGGAAACAGGAAATATTGCATTCCTCTGGTCAGAATTCCAGACATCTGGCTTGGGTTCTAATGATAACCCAGGCCAACCGGAAGTGCCAGGCCAGCCCTCCCTGAATGGTGCCCCCGGCATCTGGCACATGCTTCTCAGTACATCGGAATGCATCTGATGGAAAAAGGCTCTGTCTGCACTGAGCACTTGTTCTTTATGAAGAAGTAAAGCGAGTCAGGTGCCTTAAGACCTTCAAGTAAAGGCTGGGCCCAGCACAGTATATGAAAGCAGGAGTCAGTTCTTTTTTTGGGTGGTGTTAGGTGTCCTCCTTGAGCGTTATAACCTGTGGCCGGGTAGGACGTTCTCACCCATGCCTCCAGCAGGTGTGAGTGACCTGCTACCTGCTCCTGTCTCCAACCTCAGCGAGTTTCTGCTCTGCTGGAGATGGGGGAGGGGTGTCTGGAAAAATCTGATTGCTGGCTGGGAGATGAATCTCCACAGTGTCGAGCAGTGATTTTACCCGGGCTTCCCGGAGCCTTTGTTTTGGATGGAGGGACTGCTCACACTTCATGAGCACTTGCTGGAAGTTCACAGGCTTTCTCAGCTCCTAGAATCCAGGCTGCATGCATTGCGGCAAGGGGAAATATCTGGATTCTTTGGCTTTAAGGATGAGGCTCAAGGAAACTAAGTGCCTTGACCCCCCGAAACTTCTTCCACCCAGCTGGTGGATCCCAGACCAGGAGCCCAAGCCTAGGGGCAGAAGCAGCAGGCTGCTTCCACAAGCCCTCCTACTAGGTGATTGACAGATGGTTTGACTACCCCTGCCCCGTCCCGCTCTACCTCTTAATCTTAAGAGAATGTATTGTCTACCCTTGCTACTTAGTTGTGTTTGATAGTAGCTACCCCTGTGTCTTTATTATGAATCATTTGCAAACTCACTTACATACCATTTCACTCCAGCCCTAGGCTCTCTCTGGACAGGGCTTACAGTCCAAGTCTCCCCAAGATTAATTCCCAAGAGACAGCCTCTGTCTCCCTTCAGGGGCTAAACCATCTCATCCAAATAGAACACTTCTCTCTGGATCCTCCAGCACTTCCAGATCATGCCCATCTTGCCTGATCCAAATATATGCCAGTGTGTTTGACCATAGGCTGGGATTTACAAGGCTAATCACTTAAGTTAGACCTTACTTTGGTTTTTGAAGTCGGCTGTTTTGCCAGATTGGATTGAGTGATTATTCACAAGCAATAGCTGCTCTCTGAAGATAATGATTTTTTTTAAAATAGCATGCAGGGAACACTGCCAGTGCTACCTACCTTCCCAAAGCCACACAAATGGGGATGGGCCGTTCTGTATTGCTTACGTTGTCACTGACACGTGGGTGATCAGTGGGTCCTTCCGGTGTGCTAATGAGCTACTAATCATGTGTGTCAAACGCCTCTTTCTAACATAACCTCTCTTCTCTTCCTCTTCTGCTTTCCTTTGTTCAGAGAAGCAACAGAAAGCTCACCCATCATGGATGGGTCTGAGTCTCCAACTCACCAAAGTACTGATGAATAGAGGTATCGTAAGGGAACGTTTTGTTCTTACTGCTCATGAGTTTGTGATCCCAGGTGCGCTGCACATGTGCTGTCACGGTTTCCAGAAGGAAACATCTGAGTGGAAGCCATTACGTCTTCTTTCTAGACAATGTGGAACTATCCATTTGTATGTGTGGTTTTTATCATCAGATGTTGGATATTATTAATGCTACTTCCTAGAAAGATTCCCAATTAAGTGTCCGTGAATATTTTTCAGTGGCTCAGTGAGCAGTGTTGGACTAGTGTGTCCAAGTATCAAGGTAGAAGCACCTGAGATCACATCGCTGCATTTTTGAGTGACAGCTATGTATTTGTACAGATGCTATAAAACCCTGTGGATTAGCTTCATCACCATCACCACCTCCACCACCATCATTACCATCACCACCTAGGAACTCATCAGAATGAGCCCTTGGTACCTTCCTGGCTATTAACTGCAATGCCTGTTGAAATTTCTAAAACGCTGCTGTCCAGGGGTTTTTTAATTGCATAGCATTGAGATCAGCATTTCTAGAAATAGGAGGATGCCATGCAGAGGTAGACAGAATGCTTTTGGGGTATGTTTGTTTGGTGGTATTGAGGTTTGAATCCAGGGCCCTGTGCTTGCTAGGCAGGTACTCTACCGCTTGAGCCATGCATCTAGCCATGTTTTTTTTTTCTTTAGCTGTTTTTCAGAGTCTCACATTTTTGCTTGGGCTGACCTTGAGCCTCTGGACATCTGTCAACTGAGTAGCTGGTATTACAGACATGAGCCACCATGCCTAGTCTAAAATTTTTAATTTGGTCAAAAAAATGGAACCTTGACTCTATATAAGATCTTAGTTCCAGAAGTTCACGTTCAAGGCCACAGTTCACAAAGCTATTAGGGGACAGGCGTGCATATGTATTTTTTTTTTTTGGGTCCGGTCGTGGGACCTGAACTCTGGGTCTGGGCACTGTCCCTCAGCTCTTCAGCTCAAGGCTAGTGCTCTACCACTTGAGCCACAGCGCCACTTCCAGCTTTTTTCTTTTTGCTTATGTGGTGCTGAGGAATCGAACCCAGGGCCTTGAGCATGCAAGGCAAGCGCTCTACCACTGAGCCACCTTCCCAGCCCCCAGGCGTGCATATGTATTAAGTGCTCCAAGAGTTAAAACCAAAAATGTTAAAGATTCAGTGATGAGAGCAATCACTTTTTCCAGTGCTGAGTAGCTAGGATTACCACTGCACCCAGCCTTCTGTGTAAGAGCAGTCTTTTTAAATAGAAAGGATCCATTTTTTTCCTTCAGTATAGTTTGACAAAATAATGTGCTAGAAGTGCTGGAAGTGGGCACTTCAGAATTAAGTAGGTTTGAAAGATTACTGTGAGACTGTGATGGAGAAGCTGGAATTTAGAAACAAGTTCATGTGCAGCCGGGTGGACTGGACTCAAGAGGGCCTTGTCACGTGACCCTCTCTCTACCCAGTCAGTTTTGTAAACGAAGTCATTTTTAGTAAGGCATAGTGATAAAGCGCAGCTCAGAATTTAGAAAGGATGATAAGCATGAAGTGTACACTTGCAGAAGCAATTTATGACTGTTCTTGGAACTGTACATTGACAAAAATCAATTCATACAAAGTAATTGAATTTAATTGAAATTTCTCCACCCTTCCTCCCCCATACACACATCAATCACTTCACCTCCCTGTCAAAGCAGCTGTAAAACACAGCTGACTGAGGATCATGAGTTAGAGGCCCTGGCTTAGCCACTGCCCTGGATCTTACCTGGTAAAGGGCATTCCATAAAGCCAACGGTAGACTCCGAAGTTCCCTCCTGGGTGGCAGAAAAACCTCCCAGGTCACGTGCCAGGGGACAACTTAGTTGATTTCCCCAGGGACCAGGTAGTGCTTCCCGGTTTGCGTTGTTCATGAGGGCTGCCCACTTCCTTGGCCCGAGGCATCTTCTCTTAGCATAGGATTGATTTGTATAGACTGAGAAGCTAGGGCTTCACTAAGCCCCACCAGAAAATACAATGCCAACAGGTTCAGCCACATTTCCAACCTTGAAGGCTGCCTGCTACATCCTTCAGAAATGCTGGAGAATCTCTTAGAAATACTTCCTGTGGAACATCTGTAGAGTGGGTGGATACGTATTTCCGTCCAGCTTCCTCTTGTTTTTTCTTTTATTCCTTCAATAGCTGCACTTTAGTCAGAAAATAGTACACACATTTCAGGCCAGTCGCAAGGGATGCTGTAAGCACCCCTTCTCAGAAGAGGTAGAGACCGGGCAGGCTGTAGCTGTCACTCTGTGGCCCTTCCAGATTCCATCTGGGACAGCCACTGGGCTGCCCCTGCCCCTGCCCCTGCCCCTGCCCCACCAGAGATCTTGTTTGGTCCATTCAATGCTAAGGAGTAAAGAGCTCTACAGTTTAAAAACAAACCTGCCAAGCCCACAGATCTGTGTGTTAGCAATACAGGGGTCTCCTTAATGAGGCACAGGTGAGCATGTGGTCCAGCAACTCCCCCCCCCCACCCATTAACTGAGTCTCACATACATTGTAAACTGCATGACCTGCTGCCTCATTTAAATGCTACTGCTTTGAACTCAGTGAGCATTGAGCTTCTGCTCCATATAAAGAGGATTTTCAGTTCCTCTCAAGCGCATTGTATTGTGACAGAGGTCCTTTGTATTTGTGGTGCAAACTATTACCTATTTTTTTTTGGGGGGGGGGGTTGGTCATGGTGCATGAACTCCAGGCCTGGCACTGCCCGAGCTCTTCAGCTCAAGACTAGCACTGTACCACTTGAGCCACAATGCCACTTCCGCTTTTTTTTTCTGGTAGTTCACTGGAGATGAGAGTCTCATGGACTTTCCTGCCCAGGCTGGCTTCGAACCGTGATCCTCAGATCTCAACCTCCTAAAAGTAACTAGGATTATAGGTGTGAGCCACCACTGCCTGGCCCATTTTTTAAACTATCAGAGTTTCAGCCAAAAACTGTTTTGAGATGTTACACAAAGAGATTCAAACACAATTGATAGTATGAAGTTATGGGATATTGTGTGTTGTGTGGGCATTAATAGGTCATGAAGTTTGAGCAGTTCTGAGTAAAACATGGTAATACAGGACTTTAGCGTATCTGTGTTTAGTGTGTATCAGTGTTCCTAAAGGCCAGGTCCTCAAACTTACTTGTCCAGAGAACCTTTGTTTCCTCAGAGCCTTCACAGGTCTACTTTGAGAAATGCTGGCGGAGGTGATTTCTAAATAGCCTATGAAGTGTAAAGGGAAATTTTGTCCAAAAGATATATCCATATCACAAACAAATGTATCCACAACGAATTTCTCTCCAGAGTTCCTATTTCAAGGTGCTGGTAGTATTCATTGCCTAGGAAACAGAAATCAATTCAATAGACGTAAGCATGGAGGAGTGAATCGGCTGATGGAGATGGGGCTGGGGCCCGCCAGTACTCTCCTCCCATGGCTCTGTTTTCTGCTCCTGTCAGCCTCATGCTTTCAAAGCTGCCTGGCTTGGCCTTTGCCATCTTGGAATTGATTCCTGGTTGGACTCTACATGGGAAGCCAGGGTCACAGGTCTATCCAGGAAGAAGTGCCAACCTTAAAGAGATACTGGCCTCCAGGGGGGCAGCTTGCAATTCTCCCATGTTGGGCCCAAACACCTTTCCCATTAGAAGTTCTCAGTCCTAGGGTGGGTGCAATAGAATCATCCACTTACCATCCAAACTCACACACCATGGCAGCATCATAACTAAGGGCCTTTTATTCCTTTGATTCTGGTGCCACATTTAAGGAGTTAACCCATTGTTTCCAGGGCTGCAAGTACAAAAGTGTCATTAGAATCCACTAGAATGCCCGATGCCAATGGCTCACAGTTATAATCCTAGCCACTCAGGAGGCAGAAACCTAGAGGGATCATAGCTCAAGGCCAGCCCCAGCAGAACAGTCCTTAGGATCCACCTCTCTAATTGCCTAGCAGAAATGCTGAGGGTGTCCAGCAAGCAAGCCAGAGCAAGGCCCTGAGTTCAAGCCCTAATACTAAGGGGGAGGGGGAGGGGGAGGGAGGGAAACCACCAGGATACAAACAAACCTTTGGCATTTTCTAGCTTTCATGGACTTTTTGGACTAAATGAGGAACATTCACAAAGTACAGACACTAGCTGGGAATGTGTGGCTCAGTGACAGAGCGTGTTTACCAAGAATTTACAAGCCCCAGAACCGTGTCGTTCACTTGCTCCACAGAGCCCTGTAAATGAGTGATTCTTCTGTGTGAGCTGCCTCAGCAGGCTGTTATGATACCCTGTAAACTCGCCTTGCTTTGACCTCCCCACCAACCATGCCCGCCTCTTCCCCAGCACTGGGCACAGGGAGCTGGTTTAGGGTAGTTGGTCCTTGATAATGGACCCTCGTATTGCATATTGCCGTCAATCTAGCCATGTGACAACTTTTTTAATTTTTATTTTTTGTGAACATACTGTACAGAGGGATTACAATTACATGGGCAAGATAATGAGTACATTTCTTATCAAGCATTGCAGCCTCCTCCTTTGTTTACCTTTCATATCCCTTCCCAGCCTCCCCCCGCCCCACCCAATCCCTCTCCCCCCCCCCACCAAAGTTGTAAAGTTCATTTTTGACATGACAACTTGTACTTCTCATAGTTGCAATGACTTGTTTTTCCCCATCTCCTCCAGACAACTTCTTGATGTTTCACAATCACCTCTACCCATCCCAACCAGTCATGCCTACCTGTTTTCTTGAGAAGTCTTTCCTTCTTTGCTTTCCTGTATGTTCTATTGGCTGTTTTGGTGCCAGGGGTTAAAGCCGAGGTCTGGAGCTGCACAGCTAGCCCCCTGCTGTATATTTTAAATAAGTATTTTTCCTTTATAATCACAAAAACAGATTGTTTAGAATCCACAGAATTGATTTTATTTTAAAAAATTAGAACTCAAATTCAGAATATCCTGTCAGTCTGACTACAGGGAAAGTCACATATTTTAAATGTTTTTTTTAGGACAGAATAAAAAAAAAATCTACCAGAGAAATCAGGTTCCCCTTTACCACCAAGGCATGCAGCCCCAGAGAGCTCTCACAGAGGGTGCATCTGAAAATCACCTGGGAGAGGGTAGAAAGCACCCCAGGCCCACCCCAGCACACACACCCCATTTCTACCAGTAGCAACCTCAGAGCTCAAACAGGAGCATTTTTGAGTCTCCCAGGTGATTCCAGGATGGGGCCGATGTGAGAGCCACGTTGAGGAAGAGCAGCTAGCTCAGTTTCCCAAGGATTCCAAAGCCCTGTTATGAGACCCTTGTGGTCTCTGGGTGCCTCCTGTATCCTGGGCACCCTCGAGTGCCAGGCTTCGCGCCTTCTGGGCAGGGGAGACCATGGTGAGGGAGGGCCCACATCCCTGCATGCTCCGCCTCTAACCCTGTCGTCTCCTCCTTGACCCCCACAGGAGCTACACTGACAGCTGCTTCCTGGATTCCTCCCTCTATCCAGAACTAGCCGATGTCCAGTGGTACGGGCAGGAAAAAGCCAAGCCCGGGACCCTCGTGTGAGCCAGCCCGATGCCATTCTCTGCCACCTCACGGCCTCTCATTTGCCTTACCCAGACGCACTGTCACCTGCACCAGCTTTGGCCCTCAGCACTTTTTTTTTTTCTTTTTGCTCCTGTCTCCGCAATCCCTTCAAACCCTCAAATACCTGACTGAGGAGACATTCTGGAAGGTTCCGGTCCCACTGTGTGTCCCCCTGGCTCTCTTGCCCACAGAGAGCCAGACAGCAATCCTCAATGGCGCCTTGGTGGCCTCCCTCTGCCAGGCACCGTCCGGGAAGCCAGCATGCATGAACTCCTGCGGACAAGTAGTCAAGGGAGAGAAGGGAAGCAAGATTTACATGCAGACAGCTGCTGCCATAGGCCCACCATGCCCTTCAAGGAGAGTGGCCCCACCTTGTGGGGACCCTTAGTCTCCCCCAAAATCCTCCTAAGTGAGACCGCCTGCGGGGAGTGGCCATGGGGGGGAGTGAGAGAGGAAATCTAGCCCTTCAGAGATGCATCGGGAGATTCACGATCAGTTCTATGCTGCCAAAGATTAAACACATGCAAAAACAAAAACAAACCAATACGTAAGGGGCCAAGAGGAAGACATTCTTTCTTCAACGAGATTTTAAACTCTGCACACCCCAAGTGAAAGCCAACTCGTAAATCTTGTCTTCAGTCCATCTCCTTTAAACATCCTCTTCCCCTTCTGAGAGAGAGCCGTGCAAAGTAGTCCCACAAGGGTGGTGGCAGCAAGGCATGGCCCTGCTGACTCAATGACTCCATCCATCTGGACACCAGGAAATCAGTCCTTGCAGGGAGCAGTGTACAGCAAGCCCTGGTCTCTGCCCAGGCCCTGCTTTCTTTCCAGGAAACTTGAAGGTGACCATTGCCCAAAAGGGGGTTCTCTCTCATTAAAGCCACTAGTCGAAGTATCCCCTGTGTTTTCTTCAAGGTTTTTCATTTGCTTTTCATTTTTATGGGAAACCAAGGGAAAAAGCACATTGCCATCCAGCCAAGTGTGTTTATCTGTCGTGGCTCATTTTTCTGTTCCTTAGCAGATGCGACTTCTGTGTGTCACTTAAAGAGCCCAGCCATGCCCTTAGGTGGGAAGATTTACATGTGTCTACCAGCCGGCAGGCAGAGCAGGGTTGAAAAAAAAAAATCAGCTCCCGAAGGGCCCAGATACTACAACCGTAAACAGTCGCCTCGAAGCGCCACCTTGGTTTGCAGCATCCAACCAAGGAAAAACGAGGAAGAGAACACGTGTGGGAGCTGCCGTTTACATGTGCTTTGAGCTATGCTCAATGCACAACCGGAAAGCCATCAAACTTCAAAGGCCTCAAAAAAAAACATTTTTCTAATAACCAGTGCACAATCTTAGATGGGTGACTCAAGATGGCACAAAAGGTCTCTGTGGAGGAGGTAGACTGTGCATGATGGCGCAGGGGGGGTGGGGGGATTTTCTCATTTGTAAGGACTTCCTAGTCAAAGGCATTTGACAGCCAGGAGCAGGAGCCAGGGTAAGGGGTACTTTTGTGGGAAAGCAGAACTAAAAGTTAGCTACCGTGTCAAAAGGAAAACCTTTGTTTTTCATGTCTGTGTGAACTAATCAGTAGACTCTACCAGACCAGGAAGGTGCAGAATGGACTAACCAGCCATGATGCTCCCTCTGCTGTAGCCTGGAAAGTGCTGTCACTCAAGTGGGACATTCATACCACCCTGGCCACGGCCACCAACTCCTCTGCCACTTCTCTGTGGGGCGTGAGGGCAGGCACCCCAGCAATGCATATGGCTTGGTTGACGCTTCCAGCTTGAGGGACAAAATGTTATTCCCAGAATGCTTGAGGAGTAAACCTGCAAGATAAATAGAAACTGGTTAGGATATGAATCTGGCACTTGAATGGGGAGGGGTAGTTTATGGCTCTTATTTGGGTAATTAGAGCTTAAAATAGTTTTTAGATTACCTCCACCCACCCCTTCCCCTACTCGGAAATGTGATGCACATTGGGTCATTTTCCTTTCTCTCAAAAGAAGGTACAGAGGGAATTCAACACAGCTATGAGCAACAGGTTAAAAAGTCAAGAGAGAAACTAGAGGTGGTGCGGTTACCTGGTTACAGGTTCTAGGACATGGGTAGAAGTCAGAAATAAAGTCTGAAGCCTGTTGGATCAAGCTTTTAGCCCAGTTCTACGGAGAGGCAGAAGTTCTTCCAAAAACATGGGGTACACTTTAGATTAGTAGGGCGGGGGAAAGCAGATGAGTGGAGTAGAAGCAGGAATTACAGTCCCAGCAAACAAAATGACAGTCTGGTAGTGAAGAAGGAGATTGAGTCAAACAGGTTTTACTGTTTCGCTGTGTTCGGTTAATATAAAATGTACATAAAGTGACAGCCCTTCTGGCCTGCCACGATGGTCGTTGTGGGAAACGCTGTGGTGATTGTATGCGAGCACTTACAAATTCTTTCTATAGCCCTATTTCTTTAAAACAAAATGAATTATGAAGCTCCTGGTCTGATATAAAAGCCCCTATTGGATTCTTTGGATACAATAAGAAATTGCCTGTTCAGCCAGGAGACTGGCGAAAAGACTCATACATCAGACTGCTGTGAGCCAGGTGGGGTTCTCATTTTGTTATATGCAGGTGAGTGTTGAAAACTGTTAAAATTCCAATTTGTTTTCATTAAGTATTAGTTTAGTTCGAAATATAGCAAACCTCATCCAGGTGCTATCCAACGACCAATTACTGCTTAGTTAACTAGGTGTAAAGTTTTACATATCCATTAATGTCAATAGTTTATTACAAGTTGTGTAAAATGGACTCTAGTTTAATAATGGGGGTGGGGGGGAGATTAGGTTGCTCCTGAAACTGACTGTAGAGCATGTAAAATGATTTTACTGGATTCTGTTCAACTGTAATCAATGAGAAAGATGTATGTTGTAGACAAAGTTGCAGAATTAAAAAGAAATCTGCTTTTAATTTATTCTTTTTGTATTAAGAATTTGTATAGTACCTTTACATTTTGCAAAACAGTGTTGTCAACACTTATTAAAGCATTTTCAAAATGAAAAGATTCCTGATGCCTCTTGGACATTGTTTATTTCTATGTGGTAAGATGTTTGCTCAGGGGGCTGGGAAGGTGGCTCAGTGGTAAAGCGCTTGCCTTGCATGCCTGAGGCCCTGGGTTTGATTCCTCAGCACCACATAAGCAAAAAGAAAAAAGCCGGAAGTGGTACTGTGGCTCAAGTGGTAGAGCACTAGCCTTGAGCTGAAGAGCTGAGGGACAGCGCCCAGGCCCAGAGTACAGGCCACACGACCGGACCCAAAAAAAAAAAAAATTTCTCAGCTTTATGACTGGTGCTCAACCACTTGAGCCATGCCTCCAGCCTGGCTTTTTGCTGGTTACGGGCTTTTCTGCTCAGGCTGACTTCTATCCTCCAGATATCAGCCTCCTGAGCAGCTTGGATGCCAGGCATAAGCCACCAGCACACAGCTGGATTATTTTTAAAAAACTGGTTTATACATGATATTCTTGTTGATTTTTCCAGATGGTAAAGACAAGCTCTCGTCTTCAGTAGAGACTAATTTCCTTTTGTAAACTATATAAGATCATCTAGTCTAAATTGTGTTCCTTCTTTTCCAAAAAGGATTTGACATTGGAGGCTATTTTGGCCATTGTCACTGGGTCAACAATACATTGCAAGCCGGCGCTGGTGGCTCACGCCTGTAATCCTAGCTACTCAGGAGGCTGAGATCTGAGGATTGTGGTTCAAAATCAGCCCGGGCAGGAGAGACCGTGAGACTCCTCTCTCCAATAAACCACTAGGAAACCGGAAGTGGCGCTGTAGCTCAAGTGGTAGAGCGCTCGCCTTGAGCTGAAGAGCTGAGGGACAGCGCCCAGGCCCAGAGTTCAAGCCCCACGACCGACCAAAAAACAAAACAAAACAAAAACCAATACATTGCAACAGCTACCTTTATATCCTACATGCTGCAGTGTGTGCTAGTCCCACAGTCCCTGGTGAAAGAATCACAAAGGGAAGGACAGCCTTGGTTTCTCTTTTTATGTTGTCCCCAGCTTGCTGTAAAAGAGAAAAGATCCACTGGGTAGATAAACTGGATGTTCAAGCACTGTACAACCACCATTGTTCACCCTCAGTGTTGGCTCCGGCCTAAATATCACATGGCCAAAGCAACAGCCGCAAATGGCTACAACTGACAGCTGCCTGCCCAGCCCCTTACCTGACAGGCTTCTCTTCTCTAGCAGGAAGCTGGAAGTCTGGCTTCCAGGAACATCTTGAAGACACAAAAGCTTGGCTGTCCTGCAGGCCAAGCATTGCTAAAAAGGGAAGACAAAGACAATCATCAATGAGGCTGGAAGTGACCCTGCCAGGGCAGCATTTCCTGCTCCCTGAGCACCAGCAGCTCTCGGGAAGACCCTAAACCTCCTTTCCTTAGGGAAGCACAGCACATTTCAAAATAATCTAAACTTGAACTTGGCCTCCAGCCCTCACTTGGCTTTTTCCACTTACAGCTAGTGCTGTTAATACGTTGAACCACATCTCTACTCCTGGCTTTTTGCTAGTTAGGTGGAGATAACTTTGGTCTGTTTGGGGTGACTCTGAACCTCGAATCTCAGATCTCAGCCCCCTGAGTAGCTAGGACTATAAGCAAGAGCCACTGATATCTGACTAATCTACACTTAAGAACATGCTCATGTATGCCTTTTACTGTAAATAGGAAATAAATCTACCTTTAACATGCCTCTCCCTCCTCCTTCTGTCTCCTCTCCTTCTCCCCTTACATAGTGCTAACAAAGTTAACTGTTAAATTAACATAAACATCTTAATCCTGCAGACCATAGTAGAAATAGCCAGCCCTTGTCATTTTCCCAGAATACCAGTTCAAAAAGGACCTTGTGCGAAGCCCTAGGAAGACTGTGCAGAGCCACTGAGGAGGGCCAGCAAGTGTGCCACTGGCCCTCTTGGTCCATGCATAGCACACTAGGCTAGAGCCGGGGTGCTGACGGATGAGACAGCAGACATGATCACCATATACAGTGATTAGCAGTCACAGGCATTAAACAAAGAGATTAAAATGGATTCTCAAGGACAACAGATGAACAAATGTACAGACAGGGCCTGACACCTCGTTCAAGGAGTTGGATGTTCAGAGATGATAGGGAAAGATGGCTGAGCCAGCAAGGTGCAACTTCTCTGGCTTGCACAATGCCATGATCCCAACAAAGTCACTGTCCGCAGGCAGGAGCTCAGTGGGCCGAAGCTGATTAATTATTATTTGTAACTGATTATCTGCTTACACAGTAACTGATAACAAGCTTACAGGTTGACAGTTGCACCAAGGTTTGTTTCTTAGCAGGAACCCATTTTTCTCTTCATAAATTTCTATCTCCTTAAGCTACTTGGCTCCTCTCATTTTTTTCCACCCATTTCCTCTTAAACCTACTCCAACTGTGCTTTAGCATCTCTGCCAGATGTACTGTCAAATCCATGCCATGCAGAGTCCCATCATTAATGATCTGTTGTCATTTTATGCAACTTACTTGCAGCACAGGATGCAATGGTTGCCTTGCTTCATTCAATCACCTTCTGTACTTGGACTCCAGAGTATACATCTGCTGGTCCTGAGGTTTGAACTCAGGGTATTGGTGCTGTCCCTGAACACATTGTTCAAGGCTAGCACCTAATCCCTTGAGCAACAGCTCTACATCCAGTTTTTGTTGTTGCTCAATTGAAGAGTCTTACCTACTTTCTTACCAGGCTGGCTTCGAACCTTGATCCTCAGATCTTAGCCTCCTGAGTAGCTAGGATTACAGACGTGAGCCACTGTCACCCAAATTCATCTTTTCTATTCCACTTGTATGCTTGATGATACCTGTTTCTCTCCATCCTGAGCCTCTTCTCTTGACCCTGTACATCCTACTGCCTACTGAGCATCTCCACAGACATCTATCATGCTAACAGGTCCAGAACTAAACTCTTGACCTCCACATCTGCTTCATTAATGGCTTCCACAGCTCACCTACAGGAAGCTCCACCCTTGCAATGCTCAGGTTGGAGAACTTGAAATCACTCCTGTTTGCTTTCTCTCACACTTAGAACCTACAGGGGGAAAAACAGATATGAGATCCCTGTCACTAGATATTGCTATTACATTGAAGAAAAAAAGGGAGAACTTAAACGATTATATAACATATTAGGAAGTGAGTCAATTTAAAAAAAAAAACACAAGGACTGTGAAAAGTTTAGCCTATGACAGCCAGGTCAGGCTGGTAAATTTGGAGCAAGAAAATCTTCCTGATTGCCTGGGTGTAGTGAAGCAGGCCACATCTGGGTGCTGTGGACAGCAGTGTAACAAGAGTGCAGTCAGGACAATCACAAAGCATAAGCAGTGTTTCCACAACACTGGACACTTAAGAGACTAGGAAACTTTTGAGTAGCAAACACTAGTCAGGACAAGGGAGAGGGGTGGGTGATGAAGTGATCCCTGCTTGGAGTGTGGCAGAAGTCCCAACATAATGGAAGCTGCTGGTAAGTTGGGGAGTAAATATATGGTGATCATAGGATCTAGACTGGAAAGGGAGCCAAAAAGGTGCAGGTATAGGAGAAAGGAATACATTGGGGAAAATGCCTCGAGGAAGAAAGGACTGGGCAGAGAAGGTAAGCCATCAGTTTCTCATTACATTTATCTCCATTGTTGTGTGGTGGGGGAGGGGGGGAGCGGGGAGGTGAATTCCATAACCTCGGGTGCAAGCCCACAAGCCATGTTGATGAGTACCAGTAGGAAGTCCTAAAGGGATTGGCTCCAAAGATGGCCTAGGGTCCATGTATCAGGAGACCCATTCAATTATTTTAACAGAGATGAGTCATTATAAACCCAGATAGTCAAAAGGTAAAAGGCAAAATGGTAGTAGGGAACACAAAAGCTAAGGGCTTAGGTAAATGTTTAGGGCTGGGGAAAAACAGTAAGAGCCTGGGTGCTTCAACTTTAAGAGTTGGCAGGAAGCACTTCTTGGAGTTGGGACCTCAGGAACCTAGTGGGACCCCAAAGCACAGGAAAGGAAAAGGAATGCCTGGTTGACAGTGCTGCCATCTTTGAGGGGAGGCATAGAGCTGATTCTAGAGTGTAGAAAACCTGCGATCTGAAACCAATGATTCTTTTAAGGTGGAAACTGCTACTACCTGGCTGAAGAATGGTTGCTAGAATGTCACCACTGCTCAGGACAGAGAGGACAGGAAGAAGCAGATCTCTTCTTCTCTTCTGAAGGTTCCTGTCTTTCACGTGTCCACTATGGGTGGGGAAACACACACAAAGCAGCCAGAATAGGAGAGAGATAGGGTTTGCAGAGCCTCCTAATCAAGTAGAACAGGAAAGGTGTGGCTGGAGATAGGACAATGGCTTCAACTACCAGCACTCATACTAACCACCAATTTTCCTCTTCTCACGGAATCATAGCTGGTCAAAGCACTTAGAAGATCCTGGTCAAGGGTCAAAGAAAAGGCAGACACCTATAAAATCTAGTGCTATCATATATAAAACTCATCTTTAATTTTATATATGTGTGTCTATATATAAAAATACATATATGCATAGCACAAAGGACAAAAACTACATGAATTTTTTTGGCCCATGACTATGTGAGTCACTGAATTAGGAGAGATGGTAGTAACCTCCAGA